AGGTTCTTTATGGAACCATTTAGACAAAAAAAGGTTCTTCTATGGCATTGTGAAGCACCTTTATTTTTAAGAGGATAGATAGATAGATAGATAGATAGATAGATAGATTACTCCTTTTAAATGTAATCACGTTTCTGTTCTGATTACTTTATTTCAAAAGTAATTAGTAATTAGCTACATTACTAGTTACGTTACTTTTTTCTCCATGAAATTTATGAAATCCCAGCTTACACGCTCCCGATAAATATTTGTTATTAAAGCATCAACATTCACAGAACACTGTTATTTTTAACTAAAGCAAGTGGCTGCTGCATGCATGGTTTGGCATAGCAGAATACCAGCAAAGAGCGCTGCATTTATAATCTCTAAAAGACATCTCAGTTCATCGCAATCTCACAAATCTCTGTCAAAACACAATAAATATATGCATAATGAATCTTTCATAATGTCTACAATTCGTGTGTTATAATGAGAGGATTCGTGAAAGCATCAACATTCACAGAACACTGTTATTTTTAACTAAAGCAAGCGACTGCTGCGTGCATGGTTTGGCATGGCAGAATGCCAGCAAAGAGCGTTGCATTTATGATCTCTAAAAGACATCTCAGTTCATCGCAATCTCACAGATCTCTGTTATAACACAATAAATATATGCATAATGAATCTTTCATAATGTCTAAAATTCGTGTGTTATAATGAGAGGATTCATGAGCACGCAAATTTCAGCACTGCATTGCTTAACGCTGCAAACACGTTTTATAGCCTAAATAGAAACTCTGCATACGCTTGCACCTGTTAATCATTTATATTTATATTAGTTCATGTTGCTTTTGTGCAATCGATGAATAACAATTTATTTGGTTTAGATATTTCTATTTTGCGGGAGTCCCATGAATCATTTTATTCTTCCGCATCCCGCACACACACGAGTGTCTACTCGCCTATCTTGTCCCGCGCCGCACTCTGTTGCGTCAGGTCTCGCAGGAGCAGGTCTCTAATCCACTGGCACTTGACTCGACAGTGCGTGTGCTACATCCTTACACTCCTGATAAATATTTGTTATTAAAGCATCAACATTCACAGAACACTGCTATTTTTAACTAAAGCAAGTGACTGCTGCGTGCATGATTTGGCATGTTGCGTCGGGTCTCGCGGGACCAGGTCTCTAATCCACTGGCACTTGACTCGACAGTGCGTGAGCTACATCCTTTTTACAATCTAGATTAGAAATCACTGCATTCTGTCAGCAATGTAACGCGGCAGTAACGTATAGAGACATCGGCTTGTAACTATACTCTAATCACTATTTTGAAAATTATAACGTGTTAAATTACTCCGTTACTTAAAAAGTAATCAAATTACAGGAATGCGTTACTAAGTAATGCGTTACTGCCAATACTGCTCAGGGCCAAAACCGGGGACTAGAGCCCTCCCTGGGCTTAACTGGGGATCAGGAGCCCTCCATGGGCTTAACGGGGGATCAGGAGCCCTCACTGGGCTAAACCCGGGAACAGGAGCCCACACTGGAGCGAGCTCTGGGGCTGGAGCCCACAGTCTCTTCCTCCGCAATCTCCGCCGGCGAACTTGAGTGCTGAACGGCCGGCGGGCTTGTGTGAGCCGTAGCCGTCGGGCTTGACATCGGAGCGGCCGGCGGGCTGGAGAGAGCCGCAGCCGGCGGGCTTGACTTCGGAATGGCCGGCGGGCTTGAGTGTTGAATGGCCGGTGGGCTTGACATCGGAGCGGCTGGGGGGCCTGCGTGAGCAGCGGCCGGCGGGCTTGTGTGAGCCACAGCCGGCGGGCTTGACATCGGAGCAGCCGGTGAACTTGAATGAGCAGCGGCCGGCGGGGGGGCTTGACATCAGAGCGGCCGGCGAACTTGAGTGAGCAGCGGCCGGCGGGCTTGTGTGAGCCACAGCCGGCGGGCTTGAGTGCTGAACGGCCAACGGGCTTGTGGGAGCCGCAGCCGGCGGGCTTGACATCGGAGCGGCCGGCAAACTTGAGTGAGCAGCAGCCAGTGGGCTTGAGCTAGCCGCGGCCGGCGGGCTTGTCTTCAGAGCAGCCGGCGAGCTTGACAACGGCATGGCAAAGCGTGCGGCGGGTTCCATGCCGCGGGGGAAAAACAGGAAAACAAAACGGGGGTAAGGAGTGCCGCTTACTACTGTGTTGGTCCGGTATTCTGTCACGGTTGCCTTCTGTGGCGAAACGAAGAACGAGGAGATGTGGGATAAACTCAAAGTAAATGTCTTTAATCATCCAAGACGGGGTAAAACAAGGCTGGCAGGCAGGGACACACAGGAAACACAACATCGATGTTCAATGCCGGACAAACTCAGATAACACAGACAGGAACTTAAGTACATGGGGTAATAGACAAGACACACCTGGGAGTAATCAACAATCAAACACACGGGAAAACCAAATTAACAAACAAACTATAATGAGGACAGGAACATAAGGGCATAAGGGCACAAATAAGGGCATACAGAAACAGGAGGAAGGAACAGAGGGAAAACAAAACAAAAACAGACCATAAATGTGACAATTAGAGTGGCTAAAAGAAGCTACTCTGAAAAGCTGGAGAAAAAAAAATCAGTTTTCACCCAGCATCCCTGGGAAACTCACATTGACTCCATTGTGAAAAAGGCCCAGCAGTGGCTGCACTTCCTTTGTCATCCTGGCCATAACCTCTTTGAATTATTGCCTTCTGGATGTTGACTCAGAACAATAGGCACTAGAACATCTAACCACAGGAATAGCTTTTTTCCACAGGCCATCTCCCTCTTGGACAGTTGATGCCTCTCAAGGCCTTCCTTAGTACAATACTCTACTTTTAGTGCAATATTTTACAAATAAAGACTTCAAATGCAAAAGCCTTTAAGTGTCATGCTGAAAATGTCTTCTAAAATTAGCATTTTTATCTGGCTCCTATGTTTATGTTCAGTTATTTCACTTTAAAGGCAACAAAAAGTACATTTACTTGAGTACTGTACTTAAGTATACTTTTTGATTATCTGTTCTTTACTTGAGTATTATTTTTTCTGGAAACTTATGACTAACTTCACTACATTTGAACGACAAATATCGTATTTTTCACTCCACTACACTTCTATAAGGGCCTTAAAGTAGAAAGTCATTACTATGTTTCAGCTTTGAAATTCAGTGGGTGATTTTTTCTGCTCAAAAATGTGACTTTTTTTAGACAACCTATTAGTAGTCACTCTTACGTGAAGTGATTTCCCAGAATTTTTTTAACACTGACCAGTTGCAAATGTGATATTTATTTACAACAATTCAATAATAAGAAGTTAATATTGTGGTATATAGTTGCAAATGTGATATTTATTTACAACAATTCAATAATAAGACGTTAATATTGTAGTATGGTCACATGTTTGTCTCTGTTTAGTTCCTGTTTGCCCCTATTTTCAGTTCCTGTTCTCATTTAGTTCATCATCGTTTATTCTGTTCACCTGTTTTGATTGAGTTCTCCACCTGTTTCAGTTTTGCGTAATCACGTTCCATGTGTTTATATACTCTGTGTTTTCCTCAGTTCCTTTGTCTTACTTTGAAGTTACGTTGTGGTGTTTTACTCCTATGTTCTTCTGTTTAACTCTTGGTTTGATAATTAAAGACTCACTTCTGGATTACCCTGGCACCGTGTGCTTCATCCCCACCGCATCGTGACAGGTATATAAATAGACACAACATTGTCTGATTTTGTAAAATTGTGTAAATGAAAATATTAATTATAAAGCCACTGAAAAACTGTTGTGTGACTCCTAACAAAACAAAATAGGTGTTTGACTTGGAGCAACACTACACAGACCATGTTGTGTATGACATCAAAGTACCGCGAGAACGATTAGAGAGCATTTTCTACATTTTTGTCTTGGCGTCAAATCTTGCTGTTTTGCTTTTTTTGTTAAAGCAGTGATGCTGTTGTAAAGTTATGTAGCTACAATAGTGTTGCTGGGCTTTAAAGCAGTTTAGATTTTTTTTCTTTTCAGTTGTCACATTGAGTTTTTATCATGTTTATTGTTTGTATTTCTGTTTGATTCTGTTACCTTGGTATGTTCTAATTCAGGGGTCACCAAACTCCGTGCTGGAGGGCCGGTGCCCTACAGAGTTTAGCTCCAACTTGCCTAAACACAAGGTATACTTGAAACTTCCAGGCAGGTGTAAGACCTTGATTAGCTGGTTCAAGTGTGTTTGATTAGGGTTGGAGCTAAACTCTGCAGGACCTTCCACCGACACCAGCCTTCCAGGATCGAGTTTGGTGACCCCTGTTCTAGTTTGTCATTGCTTCTAGCTTATTCTGTTCTCCTCTGTTCCTTGCCTGTTAGTTTCCATGGTTACTGATTGTAGTCCTCTGTTCAGGTTATCCTCATTTGATTGGCCTTGTTTGCACTGCATTTATACCCTCATTCTTGTTTTGATCTTTGTCTGGTGTTAGTTGTATTTGAGTTGTTGTGTGGTATTGTGTTGCCCTGTGATTTCTTCGATTTGTGGTTGGATTTAAAATAAAAGACTTTTGGATTGCTACTCCATCGTCTTCATAAGTGTTTAACAAAGCAACCATGACAAAACACCAGACCAGTCAAAAATGAAACTGGCTGAGCAACAGAGTCTGGCAGAGGACCGCTTGCTAAACATCCAACAGTGTGGCTGACCTCTGGAGCAATACATGGTGGAATTCCTGGAGCTGTCCCATCAGGTGAGCTGGAGGGAGCCAATGCTCAATGTATGCTTTTGGATGGGGCTGGATGACGAGTTATTTCAGTTTCTTTCTTCTGGTGATTGTTATATACCATTAGTTGATTTCATAAATCATGTCCTCTGTCTAAATGGTTCTGATTTCTTTGTTGAGGAAATATAAACCAAGTTCTATCCAGAAAGTATTTGGGCACTTCAGCTTAACCCAAACATATGCCCGAATCTTCCACAGACTCTTCACCAGCAACCATCAGAACTGCCTATTTGACATCTCCAGCCTTCCCCAGGCCCGAAAGGCTGTCTAACAGTGCCCTGATGGCAAAGTTAATAGATCCATTGATCATTTCTGTCAGATCGGCTCCAAGTTCACCATCCCCCACTCCTCTCATCTAGAGTCTGCTCCACTGTTGGCTCCAGTCCCTGAGTTTTCTCCAGTGTCGGCTCTAGGCCCTGACCACAGTCCTGAGCCTGCTCTAGCCCCTGAGTCTGCATTGGAGCCCGTTCACGCCCCAGAGTCAAGTACAGAGGCTGCTGCACTGTCCATAATGGCTCTGCCATTTATGTGCGTTTGGGCAGCACACATGCCCGTAATCCCCACCAAGATTTTTATTTATTTTTATTTTTTTCAGTTTAACCAGCTTGAGTTTAAGCATGTAGAACAACTACCCAATAAAACAGTCCAATAATCTAACATTGAGGGCATGAACACATGAATTAACGTTTCTGCATTTGACCTTGGCTTTTGACACCATATGTGATTCAGTTCTGTTGAATAAGCTGCATAGCTGATCGGGTTTCTCTGGGATTTTTTTTTGATTGTTTTCACATTCATGCTGCCACTAGAGCAGATTCAGGAAGTATAGCCTTCTTTATCACTGCTATGCGGATGACAGTGAGATCTACATCACCACTAGTCCTGATGTTCATTGCATGTAACATGCCTTTTTTACATCCAGATTATATTATTGTAATGCCTTGTTCTCTAGTCTTCTAGCTAAATCTTTAAGTTGACTACAGTATATTCAAAATTCTACTGCTCGTGTGCTTACTCATACCTCTCCTTGTGAATATCATACCGTTGCTTTCACAGTTGCACTGGCTTCGCATTATTGCTAAAATTGTTTATAAAGTTCTAATTTTAACATATAGTTCATATACTGCTTCACATTCTCTCCATTCTGCCAACACTCTTTTACTTCAACCTACATGTAAACTTAAGTTGTTGTGACACACATATAAAATGGTCAACTCTGCTCAAACACTGACTCTCATGATTGCAGAGAAGAAAGGAATGCAACAGCTGTGTGCCTCTATATATTAACCAAAGTGATAACTATTTATATATCAGTCATCTACCTTGGTAAGTATACATAAATGAGTGGGGTAAACAATTAAGATTTTACTTTTTTATCAGAAACTAACTAATAGTTTATACCTGTTGTAGGGAAAATATTTTTAACAGATTTATTTTACATTGTAAAAAAAGGTTTTTTTTTTTTGTTCTGTATGTGTCTGTTGCATTAAGTCTTATTCTGACTCTGTCTGGGCTGTGCTTCTCAAAAGCATCATAGGCCTAAGTAGAAACCACAATCTGCTGTCTCTACGATCTACTTAGGCTTGTACAATGGTTTTGGAAAAGCACAGCCCTGTATGTTTCGTTTAGGTCACAGATGGACAACCTGACATTCAGATACAGCATACTTTTAATGGAGGGACTGCAAGTTAAACAACAGTCCTTGCATTCAGCCATTTTTTTTTAATTTTTTTTATTGCTTACATATTTATTATGGTATCTAACATTGCGATTTTTGATTCAGATCTCAGTGGAAAAAAGTTTACACCAGCCTATGCACATTCTTTTCTGCAACTTGCCACTCAATCATGTATTAGGGACAACCATTCTGTTGCCACACTTGATGAGGAATACTTTAACAGACACCTCTGAGCATTACATCACATATGTGGAGTGTGTTATGCAAGCTTTTTTTGGTCATTTATATGGAACAGCATCCCACACTATTCTAATGATCATGGCCTTTGACAGATATGTGGCCATATGCAATCCACTGCGATAGTCAATTACGATGTCCAATAATATGGTAGTTAAACTGTCAGCAGGAGCCTGGGGTGTTGCATTAGTGCTGGTGGGAATTTTGATTGGCCTCAGTGTGCGCCTGTCTCACTGCAGATCTTTTATTGAAAATCCATTTTGTGACAATGCTTCACTATTTAAACTTTCCTGTGAAAGTACAGTGATTAATAATGTATATGGATTAACTTTTACTGTTGTTTTACTTACATCTTCATTGGGGAGTATGGTATTAACATATCTCAGAATAGCAATGGTATGCTTCAAAAGCAAAAACAAAGCAAGCAACAGCAAAGCCATAAAAACCTCCAGGGCACACTTAGCTGTTTATGTAATCATGATGGTTTCTGGATTCACCACCATATTACTTCATCGTTTTCCTGAACTCTCTGAACATAGGAAACTATCTAGTATAATGTTCCATGTTGTTCCTCCATGCTTGAATCCCATAATATATGGGTTGCAAGCCAAGGAAATAAGACAGAAACTATTTAAACTTATGTATAAAAGTAAAGTTAACTTCATATTTTTTTTTTCAGTAATTTGTGAAAGAAACAAAGAATCATTGTAAAGCCATATGCAGTCTTTTTGAGTGATAAAGTTTAAATGGGAAATATACATTTGTCTACATTTCTGTTTTAACAGCAGTGCTTTGTTGTGTATATGACCACTTCACATGAGAAAGATAAAGGTAATCCTACTAGCAAGTAATTATGATATATAAGATAAACAAGTAAATATACGATATAGCATATCATATGACTATGTAACTATAATATAAAGTGAGTCAGTATAATAAAAGAATAAAGTGACAAAATATTCAACATGTCATCTATCTCTATAAAGTGAGTCAGTATAATAAAAGAAAGTGACAAAATATTTAACATGTCATCTATCTCCTACAAAAGTAGCACCCATGCATTACTGAAAAATTAACTTTTTTCCAACTGTAGTAAGTGAAAAAGTACACTCTCTACTTCAGGCAGACTACAAATTTGGAAAAGTCATGCAACCAAACATGCATCTTTACTTTTTCAATACTCCAATAGGACTAGCAGAGCTAGAATTGCACAATTTCCTGCATGAACAGACAACAACAGGTCATTTAAAACATGCTTATTGCTACACTGTGATCAAAATTCAGTCTGATATATAAAAACTAAACCGAATGAATCCCGCACACTATCAGTACTTGCAAACGTATCAAAAATAGATTTATTCACAATGTTTCAGTCCTATGACCTTCATCAGGCATATCATATGGGATTCATTTGTTTTTGCTTTGATGTTTGACTTGTTTTTAGTCATTTATCCAACGCACCTATCGATCACCTACAGATGTGCAAGGGAATTGTTGACAGACTGATATGTGTATTCTTATAGCATCAATATTTTGCTGGTAAAATAACAACAATAAAATAAAACCACAACCCAAAATAATCATGTGACAACAGGGTGTCACGCTTATGTTCGGTTTTGAGTTTCTTTTCTGTCTCTGTAGTAGTTCTTCCTGCCCGAGTTAGGCCTGGGACACACTAGATGATTTTCAAATCTTAACTGATTTTAAAACCATGGGCGGCATCAAGACAGTTTCAACCGATTTTTAGTCTTATAGACCAATTTCAGTGTTTGCAAACAGTGATGACTTTTTTTTTGTGGGCGGAGCCTATCTGGTGGCAGAAAATGACAGTTTTAACGTAGCTGTCTATTCAAGCCATGGAATAAAAGAATAAAAATTTAATTTTCAGTTTATATTTCAAAATTCGGATTTTTTTCTTGCAATTCCGAGATTATATCTATTATGTTATATTATATAACAATTCTGGTAAGAAAAATCAACTTGTCATTCTTTCTTTTTAGTTTATAATCCCACACTTCTGGCTTTTTTTCCTCAGAATTGACAAACTCGCAATTGTTGACTTGAAGAAAGTTATAAAGTCCGAACTAGGAGATATAAACTTGCATTAGCAAGAAAAAAAAAGTCAGAATTGTGAGATAAAATAGGTAAATGTTATGTAAAATGTTATAGGTTTAAATAGTATTTCACGCATGTATTTCAACTGTAGGGCTAATACAATATGTCCCCTATATGAATATTATATAGACCTATTGTTTAAATCAAATGTATGCTTTAAAAGTAGGGTAATCATAGCAGGTTTCATCCATAGTCTGTCCGTTTAAACGTCTGCGTTTAGCTTAAAATGGCATCTTTGAGACAGTGTTATAGAAAAATTATTTGCATTCCGATATCCAAAGGCACAACAATACATTTTTTTCTCTTATTCCATGGATTTTACCCATTTCCCTCCACTTGTTCCCAGTGTTTTTCTGCCACCACTATGCGCGCGCAGCTGCAAGTGACGTAAAAATGACATCTACTCCAAATTGGTCTATAATCCTCTGAACGTGCACACTAGATGATTCGACCAGACCGTGAGACCGCACACACTTGTTGATTATAGGAACAATTTCACAGTGAGATGAGATCTCATGGAGACTCGTGAGATAAAACGTGACTAGAGAAGAAAAACACATGGAGGACAATCAACATTGTCAGCTGGCTGTCCTGGCACGTATTCTGTTGTACAGTGAAAAACAAAAATGAAGAAAAAAAATAATAATAATATGGGTGATGTTCTTTCTCAGTATTCTACTTTTGTGGCATGTTTGTGGCTGCCAAGTTTCGGCTATAGAAGCACACAACATCCAGTAGGTGACTCTTGTTCACACTCATTGGCTATCGTGGGTATCACATCAGAGGCAGCCCGATCAAGAGTCGTAAATATCAAACATGATGCTCCGTCCCGATCGGGAGCAGTTAAATAATCGCAATGAGGGAGTCACGTGACCCAAGATGGCAGTGTAGTCATACCTCTGCTGAGCGGCAGCGGAGCCCTTTGATGTAAACTTTCTCAGACCGAATGGTCTTCCTTAATCTGTGGTATTCTGAGTATGGTGGATGTCAGAGAAAAGTCTGAATCTAAACTACATGCTCAGAAGACGAAAACAATCAAAACTATAAACTACCGCACAGACAACCAACCCTGCAAACAAGCCTGCACTGGACCTTTACGGGCCCACTTAGGGCTGCCAGCGCAGGGCCCCTGAGAATTTGTTGGGGGAAAAAAAAAAAAGATATTATACATCTGAAACGCATGCAGTCACCACATAACTAATGTCTGTATTGTCAAAAATGTACAGTAGTCAAAGGGATTTCAAATCAATTTATTAAATACAAAACATTCAGTTCAGGTTAATACAGCTATATATAGCCAAAAATGTAAATACACAAAAAGGACAACAAAAAAAAAAAAGCAAACAAAGCAATGTAAGACTAGGATTTCGTCATGTGAATGTTGATGTGTGCGAAAGTCTTATCTGTAGTACATCAATGTCCAAACACTGTCCGTAGCTGAAGTTGACTGATAGCAAATGAATAATCCAACCTCTTGTACTGAAAACACGCCAAGGCTCTCAAACACAGGCTGTTCCTAACCAGGAACAGTCAAAAATAGTCCAGACTATGGTCCCATGTCGAAAAGAACTTTAAATCCATATTCAAACTGGACCATGATGTGGTAACCTCACCAATAAAGAGTCCTTCTAAAATGCATACAAATCCACGGTCTTAAACTCTTAGCATTAATCCAAACATACATGTAACATCTCTGCAAATCAGCATTGTACACTTAAAACAAAAACAAAAAAACAACTCCTTACTTTTGACTGGGCTTGAAATTACACATTTCCCAACCAGGACAAAGCACAATATGCTCAGCAGGTGAGCCATGCTGGCTACTGCTGCTTGTTAATGCTAACTCCCTCTACCCACATGGCTTTACTTAAGGAAACCTAAAATACCCTAGCACCCTATTCCCTGGGCGTGGACGTGGAAACAGTCTCTTCCTCCTCATGCTCCTCTTTTGGTTTGAGGTTAAGGAGATTGGAGCTGGTATCACAGGACTTGACAGTGCAGCGGTCAGCGTGCCTGACAGTGGAGCGGCCGGTGGTTCTGGGATGAGGACGTGAATGGTTCTGGGAGCTGGAAACGGAGGAAGGGAGGCGGATTTTTGGTCCCGGCGTTTGCGGAGCTGGAGAAGCGAAGTGTGTTTCAGATGGGGCTGGATGAGGATGGTTCACATCTCCCTTAACTTATTCTACTTCAAAATTTGAACCATTTAAATACAGGATGAGGTTAATCAACTCGACCAAAGAGAATTCACATGCAGGAAGACTACAGCGAATCGTTTCCTCATCCAGACCCCACTGAAAACAAGCACCGAGTGAAGCATCATGCCAGCTCACCCGATGGGAAAGCTCGAGGAATTCCTCCACATACCTTTCCAAAGGTCCTGACCCAAAGACCCTGCCGCAGGCACCATAGCTGGTCTTCAGCCCAGTTCATCTTTGTTGGTCCAGTATTCTGTCACTGTCACAGTGTAGGAGTGAAGGAGCGTGGGGACGAAGGAGATATACGTAGAACAGTCTTTAAACAAAACAAAGGGGAACACCAACAAAGGAGAGACACATGTAGCACACACCATGGAAGTACAAAATTACGTTAACACTGGACAAAGGAAACCAGGAACAGATACCACTATATATACACAAGAGTAATTGACGAGACACACCTGAATCAAATGAGTAATCAAACGAGAGGGAAAAACTGGGTAATGGGGAGCACATGGGGAGAAAACACAACAAAACAGGAACATAGGTCTGACAGATACGTGGCGGGTTTTACACCCTGAGGAGAGGGAATATACTTTTTTTTTTTTCAGGAGTACACAAAACCAGCAGTAGAATACACAATTTTTTTTCCTAAAGCTTCCCTTCATAATATACTGAACTGCGAGATAATTATAATATTGTAATATCTGATCATGTGGCTGTATTCCTTAACTTAACCCCCTCTCTAATGTCAAATACCTTCAGGATACATGGAGATTTCCCTCCTGGCTTGCTTATGATCCAAATTATGAATCATATCTAAAGGAACAAATTAAAATGTTTTTCATAGATAATAAAACCACTGGGATATCTCCCAATCTGTTATGGGACATAAAGCATATATTAGGAGTTTAATTATTTCATATGAATCAAACATGAAAAAGAAAAGCTTAGCAGATAAAAGATTCTGTTACACTGTCAGATATGCAAAAGAAATGTATCGTATCTCTTGCTCTGGCTACTGTGTATAGACCACCAGGGCCGTATACAGATTTCCTAAAAGA